TTGTGACCCTTTGTTCGTAACGGGAATCGCCCGCATCGAGAGCCCTTCAAGGTTCAAGGAAACCAACCAACTCAACGACGGACGAAACCCCCCAATATCTGGTCACCATGCAACAGGTAAAACTTGTTCCCGTCATGCTGCCTCCTCTCCACGCTACTGCCATCTCTGACCAAACAGCCCATCTTCCAGCGTCCGATCCTCCAGATTCCTTACTACGTTTGCCCTGTATTGACCGCCACGACCTCGTTGCCGGCTGTTCCCAGGATCGTCAGGGATGCCACCAGGAGGAGGTGGGAAATACGCGGGACTTGGCTGCGATCGGATCGGATGGTTCGGATCCATCATTGAAGCCGCTCTCTGGATCTGGGGGGGGATGCCATCCATCATGGTCGTTGAACGTTGTCGATTCCGTGCATTATTCTGTCCATACATACCACCAGGTTGATATTGGCCAGACATTCCAGAGGATTGTTGAGGAATCATTGCGTTGTATATGTTGCCGCCCGACGACCCATATGCAGGCGGTTGTTGTTGCTGCTGTGGATTATACGCGTTGTTGTACATAGGAGCCTGAGTCGAAGTCGAGCTCGGGTAGTTATTCATAGCCGCATAGCCTGCTTGCGCTTGGGCCTGAGCTTGTGCCCGAGCCTGGGCTTGTGCCTGGGCCTGAGCCTGAGCCTGAGCCTGAGCCTGAGCCTGGGCTTGTGCCTGGGCTTGTGCTTGCGCTTGTGCTTGCGCCTGGGCTTGTGCCTGTTGCTGCTTTTGCTGAGCAGCCTGCTCAGCCCTCTGCTGTTGCTCCATGGAAGGCATTGGTGATTTCTGGAGGGGGGAGTTGTTCTTCAAATTCATCGGTGGAACGAAAGGCCCAGTGTATTTCTGCTGGGTAATGAAAGGATGCATTTTGGCCTGTTGCGGCGACCATCGTTCCATAGGATTGATACACAGAAGCCCTCGCACGAAGTCGATGAATGCCACTCGGTTGTTCATTTCTGAGACACCTGTCAGCACATCACAGTCATCGCAATTTCTTTTCACCAACCTTTTTCAATCTCAATAGGCTTCATGTTTTTCCGGGGCATGGCGTATTGCCGGATAATTTCCGGTAGAGTCGTTGCTTGGAAGTACTTCTTGCCAGGCTGTTCCTTGGTACCGTGTTCCTTAGAGTACTGCTCCATACTCTTCAAACGGTATGTCTTGCGTCCAAACTCGTCCGTCACCTTTTCGAAGAAATCGCCAGCCTGCTTTCCCATCTCGATCATCCACACTGGTGGCAAGCCCAGCATCTCAGTGATCCGTGAAACCTGGTTATACTCGGAGCTACCCGGGAACAATGGGAGACCAAGGAAAAGCTCGACCACAATGCATCCGAGTGACCACATGTCGATCGACGAAGAGTAACTGAGCAGCGTTAGTTCCAGAACGTGGAGGATGGTGCCATTCAATTGAATCGAGAAAACACATACGGTAAACCGAGCAATACTTCCGGAGACCGGTAAAATCGGGACTGGATGTAAGTGTAGACAGTCTGCCGTTCATCGCACGCCGAACCAAAGTCGATAACCTTGATTATGGGACTCTCCAGGCTGCATATGATGTCAGCATTGCGTGAATTGCTGAGGATCGAGCAACCAACTTCTTCAACAGAATGTTCTCAGGTTTCAAATCGCAATGAATGAGTCGCGCTTTGTTCAACAGACAAAGTGCATTCAAAAGCTGTTGAGCAAACACGCGCACAAGAGTTGTGCTAAGCCCTCGGAACTGATTCTGCTTGATAAGCTCGTAGAGATTAACGCTGAGCAGCTCGAACACAAGGCACAGATGTTGTTTGTGGATGAAGGTGTCTTTCAGCCGTAGGATGTGGTGATCATCGTTCTTGTCAAGCTTGCTGTTGAGCTGCGAAAGGTTAGTGTCCTATATGGCAAACTGGCACTAAAGCGGATATCTTCTCACCAAATCCAACACCGAAACCTCCATCATACTTTGGTTGAAATAAGCGGTTCTGTTCTTGACGACTTTTACCGCAACAACCTCCTGGGTCTTCATGTTTTGGCACTTCACGACCTGGCCGAAAGTACCTTGCCCAAGTACATCCAAAATGAGGTACCGATTCCTGACGCCTATATCAGCACTTTGGTGCAAGTGCAAAATCGCATTTCCGAGGAAAAACATACTTTGTCTCTTCGGAACCCAATATATCGTTGACGTATAGGATATAGTCGCTGTCCTCATTGTCATAGCCATCATTCTTAACGGGCTTGCTAGGTTTCGTCAAGACTCGTCGCGGGTTTCGTGAGGACTCGTATTTGAACTGAGGATTGCAGATGCGATAAGTTGAAGGAAGGTATGTGGTCAGCGCTTGTACGGGCTAATTTCAAGACGTCAGTGCAATGTCGCTCGAGGCTACAGAAAAGATAACCTCACGCTAATAAATCCGCCCTCTGGATTCGCTCGTCTATGTGCTGGCTGAGCGTTTATTCGAGGCTGCAAGTCGGCAAGACCGGTGACCCTCTGTAATCTTGGCGGTGGGGGCGAAGGCTGAGCGGGGCTGTTTGGCTCATACATGTGGGAAGCTTGGGACGACGTTGCGGGCTGTGGGAAATAGCGTCCTCCATTAGAATCTACTCCTATGCTTTCAGTCTTAGTTCCGGGTCTGGCAAGATGGAGGAGTTGATGGCGGGTAGCAGACCTGAATGCTGCATTGATGACGATTGCTGTAGATGATGCTGGGGGTAGTTCTGGATAGACGGCAGTGCGCCTGTACGCGGGGAGTTTGTTACAGCATTCTGGCTGTAGTAAGACTGGGAAGCATTGGTATAGCTAGGTCGCGGAGGGGATTGGCGATGTTGTTGGTAGGAAGTATTCATGGGTGGAAGGCTCGGGGGCTGCGATGAGCCCGCGGTAGTGTATTGCTGAGGTTGCTGAGGCATCGGCGAGTATCGTTGGGTTTGAACGGAGGCCGGATCGTCAGATAGATATGGCTGTCTTGGTTGCTGTTGCGGTTGCTGCTGAAACTTTCCTCTGGTGTAAGAATCCGCGTCCTGCATCTGAACGTCCATATACTCGTTGTTGGAGTTTTCAAGACGTGGATTTGTTGGGCCTACCGCTGGACCAGCGCCCCCCGCTTGGCCATGATACGTCTGGTATCCCTGCTGCGCTGCATGGTTCTGGTTTTGCTGCGACGGCGGCTGAGGAGCATATTCTCGGGGGTGTTGCGGGGAAGTGGCAGAGTTTGGCGGCAGAGCGTTGTACCGCGACTGGCGATTCGCCGCCGGGTCTTGAGAGTAGCTCGACCAGGAGTCCATCTTCAACTAAGCGGCGACCGGTTTAGAGTGCTTGGTGGTGGTGGCTGTCCCGGCGACGGCAGAGCTGCGGTGACGGTGTCGGTTGAACCGCTGCGGGGAGGGCGAGAGCAAGATGGGGTGGGGGGGGGAGGTTTGAGGTGATGTCGAAGCGAGCAACAGGATAAACTAGAGCAGTGGGCTGGGCTGGCTGGGGGGTTGTTGGGCTTTTTTTTCTTTTGGTTTGACTGGCAACAACGACGACAAAACAATGCGCAATGCGTGGGCGCGCACTGAAGAGTCAAAAAAAAGTGTATAGAATGAGAGCGAGCGGCGGGGCAGGGGCGTAGGAAGGGGATGATTGTGATGCGTTCAAATGCGACGCTGGTGGAACTTTCTTGCAGCTGGAAAGAGCAAGAAATGGGGTTGACGAATTACAACGAATGGCGAACAAACACTGGGCGCGTTCAATTGCCTTTGTCGGTTGTTTCCAGCTAACTGAAGGGCGATAATATCGAGTTTGGGTTGGACCTTCGCAGAGCAGCGGCAACAGCAGATGCACCGCTGAGGGGTTTGACTGGCCGAATGTGTTGTCGCTGAGGACGTCTTGCTTGCTGGGAAGCGTCGTCGGCGGTGACGGGAGCGGCGGGCGGTTCAGGTTCAGCCCAGACCAGGAAACCAGCTCGACTGCAGAGATGAGCGCCAGTTTAGTTTCTGATTCGAACTCCTAGGAAATTTGCAAGCTTCGAATTCTTCACCAGCTGCACGAGTACTTACTTGCACTTAGGCTAATCCATGGTAGATACACAGAGAAGCATCTACGAACAGTTGTCTCTCTTTCCTATCCAGCGATAAAAAGAAAAAAGAAAAGCAGAACGAGATGGATCAGCAAAGATCATGGAGAACTTGATCCGTCGGCGCAGCAGCATCGAGAATGGCCTTCGTCCCCCCCAAATTCCTCCTATGTATCAAACGTAACCACAGGCGCGAACCACCGTGCATGACAGCATCATCTGGGATGGCGTTAGTCCCGTCACCAGCGCGTGTAAATGCCCACTAATTACTCCACAAATGGTTGTATTAGTCCGGGTTTCCACTTCCGGATCTGTCCATTTCCAAGCCACCAATGGCGTGTGCGATTGGCGGGAGGATTACCTCTTCTCTTTCCGGGTGGGTGCTTCAGTATCAAGTTAAACTTGGTCATTTCCTCGTCTCCGTTCTCGATATACTACTACATGAGCAGGATCCTCTCTTACCAGAGGAACAGCTGCTGCCTCTAGCGCTGGGATGTGGTTGCTCGTCAAACAGCAAGGGCTTGTGATCTTGGCCAACCCGTCGTGTCTAATATGAAAATCAGTAGCTATTGTTCACTAAGAATAAGAAGGGATGACTTCTCAAGATCTTCAATACTACTCGAGGAACACCCATCATCTACTGACCGACTTCAGGGCAGTCCAAACCATCAGATACAGCTTGCAATTCTTCCTCCACGCCGGCCAGTTCTTCTAGACCATATTCGTCATGTTGCTCCTGTTGCCTCAATTGTGCTTCAGTGAGGGCGTCGGCAAATCAACAAAACCGGAGTTTGAACATGTGTCTTGAACGTGTGGCTCGAACCCTCTCGACTGTCTTCATCGGGCGGTGGGCACAGGGTGTGTTCTGCCACACGACACATAAGTCATGTTGTTATGAGACAGTTTATGTGTAAAAGTAGCATGATTTGGCCGCGTGGCCCAATGGCAAGGCGCTTGACTACGAGTAAAAAACCTCAGAGATCAAGAGATTGCAGGTTCGATCCCTGCCGTGGTCATGTTCAGTGATTGGCTTTTTTTGCTGGCGAGGTGAAAGTTTCAGAAAAGTTTGAGATAATCATGCCCACATTCTTCATAACTTCGAGCCTTCCAGCGTTGAAAAGACAGCAACACTTTCTGTCTTGCGTTGTGTCGTTGTGTGAAAACCCTAACCGTATGTGTCCCTGTATCACGTGAATAATGTCACCTCGCGTGCGTGTTGTTACACGAGGCCTCAGCACAACAACTTTACGCGAGTCTCGCGTCAACCCGCGCAACCCAACACCACCTTCTCCTCTTTTTACCCAACCAACCTTTACCCAACCAACCTTTACCCAACCACCATCCTCCAACTTACGAACAATCTACCAAACGACAAACCCACGCCAACCCATTCTCAAGCGACAGCTCTTCCTCTCCATACCCCGCTGCGCTTCCTCTCCGCTTCAATACTTCACTGCGACTCATCTTCTCAAACATTCGAACCACGTACCCATACAGTTTAACCCCGTATTAAAGATGGACGTCCCAAAAGATTCCCCCAAAGACCTAGTGCAACACAAAGACTTCCCTAACTCGCCCGCTGTCCGCGATACTGTCGCACCCGCGAATATCGTCGAGTCCGATGTAGATGACTCGACAATGGAGGACTCAGAAATGGAGGATGTCGAGTTCGGCGTTAGAGTGGTAGATCAGGCGGCACTAGAAAAAGAGATCGCTACAAAAGTAAGTACTCAATCCTGTCTGTAGTATGTGTCTGTGGCTAACTCGAGTGATCTCGTTGCAGGCTGATCAAGCTCTTCTTGAAGGAGCGAACGAGGATGACCAGCGAAGACTGGATAAAGCTATTAATGAAAAGGCGTATGGTCCCGCTGTGAACCCCCCTCTCTCCATCAGCTAAAATGCCATATAGTAAACTTGAACACATATTGAGTGTCGCCGAAGAGAAATTCAAACGCCCCACTACGATCGCCAAAGAAAAGCGGTCTATTGCTAAACAGATTAAAGAACTCAAAGAACAGATCTCCCAGTTCAACGACGACATTACCGACATTAAGACTCGGATGTTACAGCGAGCGGGTGATGCTAAAGTACTGCAGGATGTAAAGGCAGCGGCTGATCAGCGCCTTCCGAATGAATCTGAACGTGAATTCTTGATTCGTATGTACACCCATCACCATGCGATCCTTGGATTGGTCCTCACGATGTTTAGGTACCGGTGTGATTACACCATTTGACAGCATACCTGGCCTAAGCCAAAGCCATGAACCTGCCGAAATGCTACAGTCGGCGGCACCCGTCGGTGTGCAGAACCTTCGTCGACCTGGTTTCACGACCATGAAAGCCAAGAAATTCACCAAGAATAAAGACATCAAGGGAAAAGCTATCAAGAGCAAAACTCCACAGCCTATAGAGAAGAAGCTAGAAGACGGATATTCTTCAGATCTTTCTAGCGTGCCGAGCGACTTCGAGGATCACGCCTCCAAATCTCGGGCCGGGAAACGTAAGGTGCATGCCGACGACGATGATTATGTTCCAGACGCCGTTGGAAAGGCGCTGCGAAGGCAACTTGTTCGCAAGAAATCGATCTCTGACACTACTTCTGAAGAGTTCCTCGATGAGTCCGATGACGATTATTCTAGCAGTGATGTTTCGAGCAAGAAACGCAAGACTTTTTTACCCGGAACTCAGAAGGAGGCTCGTCTTGATGATGGAGATGAAAAGATTTACAAAAAGAGGCTTCGAAAGTGGATCCAATCCCGCCAGAAGGCTCGTGAGGCGAACTACGGCAAAGACCCTGAAGATGATCTGGATGAATGGCACAGGCCCCATCCAACTATTCCTAATGAGACATTTGGGGATGACTTCCGGCTGCCAGGCGACATACATCCATCCCTTTTTGCCTATCAGAAGGTTGCCGTCAAATGGCTCTGGGAACTTCATCAACAAAATGTTGGAGGAATTCTTGGCGACGAGATGGGCACAGGCAAGACCGTGCAGATGATATCCTTCCTTGCAGGACTCCACTACAGCGGCATATTGGACAAACCAATTCTCATAGTAGCTCCTGGAGCTCTCCTCAGTCAATGGGCATCTGAATTTCACACTTGGTGGCCGGCCATGCGCGTCGCCATCCTGCATAAGAGTGGAAGTGGCATGCTTATGTCAAAAGACGGTGAAATTCACTCCGATGACGAAGACGATGATGAAGGAACATACAAACCTTCGAAGAGTGCAAAGTTTGCCGCCAAGAGGATCGTGGATCGCGTCTTCAGCCATGGCCACGTTCTGATTACTACTTACGAGGGCTTGAACGTGTATTCAAATCACCTCTTGGAGAAGGAATGGGGTTATGCGGTTTTGGACGAAGGCCACAAAATTCGCAATCCTGATGCTAATGTTTCGCTCAACTGCAAGCGACTCAAGGTAGAAAGCACACCACTCCCACCACCCCCTTAGATCTATGTAAGTATTCGCTTCTAACAAATCTGCCAGACCCATCACCGGATCATCTTATCTGGTACTCCCATCCAGAACAACCTGATTGAACTGTGGAGTCTCTTCGATTTCGTTTTTCCGGGCCGCTTGGGCACTCTACCGGTTTTCAAGGAGCAATTCGAAGTCCCGATTCGTCTTGGTGGCTATAAGAATGCGATGAACGTTCAAGTTCAGACAGCTACATCATGCGCAACAGTTTTGCGAGATCTGATAGGACCATATCTCCTGCGACGCATGAAGGCTGACATTGCCAAAGACTTGCCTAAGAAGGAGGAGAAAGTCATCTTCTGTAAACTTAAGAAAGTACAAGTGGCTGCATACACCGAATATCTCAAAAGTCCCGACGTTGCCCGAGTAATAGACAACAAGCAAGACGTCCTGTCTGGTATCTCAGTATTGAGAAAAATATGCTGCCACCCTGATCTACTCGACCGCGAGGCTCTAGAGAACGTTAGTACTACACTGAAATTGTTTGTCTCACGCTGACTGTTGCTTAGAAACCGGGATATGATTATGGAAAGGCGTCATCCTCTGGCAAGCTAGAAGTGCTGAAAAAGGTATATCACTCTCTCTCCACAAAACGATCTCGCTAATACGGTGAAAAGATGGTCATCCACTGGAAAGAGCAAGGCCACCGTGCACTGATATTCTCCCAAGGCACCCAAGTCCTGGACATCTTGGAAAAAAATATCAAGAGCTATGAAGGATTTAAGTACAGCCGTATGGATGGCCGCACGCCGATAGTCATGCGACAGCAGCTCGTCGAAGAATTCAACAACGACAGCAGCATCGATGTTTTCCTGTTGACGACTCGTGTCGGTGGCTTGGGTTTGAATTTGACCGGCGCTGATCGAGTCATAATCTTCGACCCGGACTGGAACCCGTCGACGGACCTTCAGGTAAGCCCGCAAGAAACTCAAGTCGATCCTCAGAGCTGCCTGTTAACGCAAGGAATCGCAGGCACGAGAGAGGTCGTGGCGCATTGGACAGACGAAGCCCGTCTCTATTTTCCGTTTAGTCGCGGCTGGTACTATTGAAGAAAAGATGTACAGTCGTCAATTGTACAAGCAACACATGTCGCAGAAAGTCTTGGTTAATCCTTCCGAGCATCGGCGGTTCTTCCAGGTAAGAATTCTCTGCCCAGACCATACTATTTGCTGATATTTTCAGCCCGAGAATATTCGCGAACTCTTCACCTATTCTCCACCAACCAGTGGCACCGCAACTGGCGCGCTTTTCGAGGGCGCGGAAACAGTTTACTCGAAGTCCCAACCTGCCGGCCAGAGGGAGGAGGATTCTGCGCTGCGGCGCATCAACGGCGTTACGGGCTTGGCCCAGTTGTATGTGCTCCAAATCGCCAGTCATCGATGAGTGTAGCTAATACCGAATTTAGTGGGCTCGACGACAACTTGAATGCCACCAAGGAAGAACAGGGTGAACGCAAGTTCATCGAGGAAATATTCAGCAGCGCAGGCGTGTTCAGCTCCCTGGAGCACGATCAGGCTGTTGGTGCCACCCACAAACCGGCCAACAGCGAATACGCTGCGAACATTGCGGCCGAGGCGGCCAAAAAGCTCCAGGAGTCAATCTTGGCAACCCAGGTGGCTTCTGCCCCGATCGGCACGGTTACCTGGACGGGCCGCTCGGGTACGGCCGGGAAGGTGGCTGCCAGGCCAGCTGCGGGCGGCTTGCTCGACAAGCTGAAGGGGCGGGCCAACGGCGGCCGTGCAGGTGGTTCTCACCGCTCCCTGAAGCAGCAAATGCGCTCCCTGTTCGATAAGAACAGGGGCGCGGTCACCACCGCCATGATCAAGTCGTGGTGCCGCGAGGTCGGTATCGACCAGCGCAACCCGCGGAGGGCGGCGGAGATGAAGGCCACCCTGAAAGCGATGGCGAAGCTGGACAAGAAGACGCACGTGTGGACGCTTAAGTCTTAAGACGTGCCAGGGGGTATCTTTGCAATGCTCTGTTTGTTCTGCTTTTTTTACAATTTTTTACGATTTTTTACCTCATAGCATTCTGGCGTTTTTTCTGCATTTCTGGGCGTTTTCTTTCACGCGGTCATGGCGTTTTTTGGGGGCGTAGGGAGTGTATCATAGGGATCTGTAGAAACCGCAGCGTTTACAACACAGTTCAATCTGAGAGCTGTCACTCACAGCAGACCCACGCCTGGTGTATCCAAAAATAGCACCAAGCCCCTAAACAGACCGCAAGCAGCATCGGCTGAGTGATGATCCCAGTCCACGCCCTTCTTTGAAGGCAGCACACGTCGGAAAAAAACAAAACAGCCGTCCTCCCGCCGGACTGAAGTTCCTGGACTGAGCCAAGAGCGCGAAGAATCTTCATCGAAGCATTCTCCTCTCATCCGACTTCGTTCGACAAACCCACCCGCCCTCACTCGCTCGTTACTCGCTCGTTTCAACTGCTTGCTTCCCGTCCAAGCCAGGCCCCCCGTGTCTTGCTCACTCGCTCGCTCGCTCGCTTGGCTAGTTAGACGAAGTTGCTTTGGTTGTCGTCCGTG